GAACTGTAAAGTTAACACCAAAAAATTTCACACATAACTACCACCTCTAAAAGATCGTTTTAGTGTCTAATTAGCATCACTTTTATAAGCAGCAGAATATATTAAATAGATTATCTTAATTCAAATTCAATTAACAATTGAAAATAGTGATATTAACAATTCAATATCACCATTCCAATATGGAATGCTTGGGCGAAAATCTAAACCTTCCAGCTTTTAGCTATGATTGGTCACTGTCCATTGATCGTGGTCGAATGATTAGAGTTGGCTAAAGCCTTCGATATTACCTAGACTGGTGGAGATAAAATGGCTCAGCGGGTTGTTGCTCAATTTAGAGTGTTGTCCACTCCCCACAGTCTTCTTCTTAAGATTCCTCCCCATTACTGGTAAAACTCGCTCCACTGGCTTATCACATTGAGCAATATGCCAGGGAGTCCCTTGGCGATAGAAGTATAGGTGATTCGCCAGCATCACCCGGATTTTTGTACAGGTTTGCTCCTGTGGGGAATCGAACAGCAGCTTCAGCTGCTCCAAACTAAGCAACAACCCATTGAGCCATCCTATCCCCACAGGAGTAAATCTGTTCAAAAATCCAGGTAATGCTGGCTACTTGTACCACTAAGGGAGTGGTACTTCTCTTGTACAAAAGTATTACAAAATTATTTGTGCGGCAAATATAACTTCAAAACAATTTTTCCAAAATTCCATTTTGAAAAAAACATTTTGTAGTTATTGTTGTAATTCAGATTATTCCGATTGATGGATAGAATGGCTCGGTGGATTGTTGCTCAATTGGGAACGATACTGAGGTCCGATTAGCCGCACGATTAAACCTGTACAAAAATCGTGGTGATGTTGGTGACTCACCTGTGTCTCTATCGCCAAGGGATTCTCTGGCATATTGATCAAGGCGACAATCCAGTGGAATGAGTTTAATCAGTAATAGTGTGGACATGAGGACTGTTTAAAACTATTGATTTCCCACAGAAGTTTAGAAATCTCCAATTTTTTTAAATTTTAAATTTTAAATTTTTAAATTTTAGTTCGCTTTTATATTCATTCGCCTCATAAAGGGATTTATTAACGTATAGATATGTATATATGCGTAATTCGAACAATATGCGATAATGGACATGCACTTAAGAGATATACAAATCAGTACAGACCATAGTATCGTGAACACACTGTGACGTAAGTGTCACTGAGCTGATGATGTAGTCCCTATTGCGTATGATGAAATGCAAGTAATGCTAAAAAATGTGCTGGCGACTGCAGTATGAATTCAAGATCAATAAATAAAACGAAAGACTCTTCGTCTCATATACAAGAAGCTAATAAAATGCCTACTTTATCAATTCATGACCGGTTGAGGAAGCCAAGCGAAAGGCGAGATTACAACCGGGACAATGGTGGCTTTGCATTCTTCCGACTAACGAAACCTTTATGGATTCGTCGCAAGATCAATGTTAAAACCCGCATTTGCATAGCTACTATTCAGTTGATCTTGCTATATTGCTGCGAAACATGACTGAGAGTGGAGGATATTAAGAAGCCTTCCTTTGACCACTCATCTCTAGGGTACATTTTAGAGATCTGCTGAGCGGATTGCATTCATCTTCGTTCACACCACTTGCATCAATATTATCACAAAGCACTACCTTCCCTGTTTAGGGCATGTTGGCCACCACAGGAGTTGATACATATTTCGTTAGTTGCTAAACCCTATGATGAATGGCGTCGGAGGAGAGCTAATCAACTAAGATTAGGACTGGTACAAATAGAAAAGGTTCTGAAGAAAAGGTGGAACGATGATATATGGACTTAAACGGTGGAAAAACGAGTGACTTCTATTAATGTCAATGGTTTGGAGACATCTTGTAGCCAGCGGAGCTAACCTAACCAGTAATGATGAGAGTTATTAAACGAAGAAAATTGAAAATTCCTTTTATATAAAACTGAAATTACATTTTTTCTCTATTTGTCGTAAAAATAGGCACTCCCAAATTGATGAATGCATTAATAAACGCAAAATTAGTGGCGTCAATCTAAATTGATCAGTAGTCCTAAACATGATAAATTAAAAAGTTTTACTTTATTCCATTCATCTATTCGGATCTCATCAAATAGATAAGTATTTAAAATTTTAATATATAATATAATTTGCGAAGACTTTTTGCACCAGTGGATTCTAATACAATTATTTCTACTTGAATAATTTTTCTTGATAACTTCGAATCATTTTAAATTACTTTTTTTCTAAGTTCGAAATTATTGAAAACACTCTCGAAAAAAATCTTGGTTATTAAATTCTTGGAAAATTAATTTTTTTATATTTTACAAGAATTTTTATAAATTCTGATGTTTTTGGTGTTGACTGAGACCACTTAAAATTGCCTCGAATAAAAAAAGAGAATGACTTTGCATATCGAAATAGCTTTAGCTGTCAAAATGAGTCATTATAAAAAAATTGTATTAAATTGTATTAGTATTAATATTAAATTATAATCATATTTTCGCCATTCAACTTTGATCTATATTTGGTCGTTAATTTATCGTATTCGCTAAAGGACGAGGAAATGAAGAAACACATATATTTTTAGATGATGACATGCTTGAGCTTAATTTATAATTTCTCTCATCGCTGTGAACAAAAAGAATCATAAAATCATAAAAGTTGAATTAATATATATGGATGACAGAAACAAAAAAAAAATTTAAACAACTAATTTGGGAAAAAATTTAAAAATCCTAGATTTTACTAGGGTTTTGCATTAAATTATATTGAATAATAGCAGAATTTCATTTTAGAGCAACATTATTAGCCAAGTCTTCCTACAGAATTTCAAAGGAATTATGTCCAATTTCCGAATTTCCGAATTTCAAATGTTCCCAAATAATAAAAATATTTAAACTAAAAAATGCGATTAAACGAAGACTATAAAAAAAGTAATGTAGATTTTCTGTAATAATTATTGAATCATTTTAAAAGGTTAATCCTGGAAATCATATATTTTTTCTCCAAATAGCTTCCTAATCTTTCTAGTCTTTTCTGGTTTAGCTGCTTCTACTCAGGGCAAATGAATAAAATCTTTGTCACATGGAATGCAGTTGAGCCAAACCAAAATCAAGCTGGTCAGCTAAATCCGTGAAATTTGATTCCAATTGAAACAACGTACCATTTTTTCTCTTATTTTCAAGAAATTAGAAAAATTCCTTTGCTTGGAATATTCATAGGAAATTGGGAGTCGAGTTTAATAAAAAGAAATCCAATTATCAATGTTTTTCTAAAAAAAATTAATTTTCTAACGAAATTCAATCTTTACTGCTTCTACAATAACATTTTACATTCTACTGCTTCGCGAGAAGGTGCCGCGGAATAGTGGCTCAGGTTATCGCGCTAAAAGGGTAGGTTCTTATGCTGGACAAGAATAAACTTGTCATTAAGAAATCGGTTGGAGAACCTACTTGGTACCTACTTATATCCTCTAAAATGATTTTTTCGCAAAAATTTCTAACCCTAATCAAGCATAATATTGAACCCTAACTGTTTAAACCGATTTTTATTCATTTTAAATCGACTATCGAAAATCATAAAGTTGGAATTATTTATAAGGGCAGAGGTAGAAATAACTGAAAGTTCAATTTTTCTGCTTGAATCAAAATTATTTCTACATTGATAAATTCAAAAGCTCTTTCAATTGATTTCTTCTGATTAATCAAAAATACTTAAAAGAGATTTTTAAAGAGATTTAAAAGAGTTTTTATAGATTTTTGAAGGGAATTTTTTCACTCAATTAAAAAATTCCATAAATCATCGAAATCTTTAATTTTATTAAATCAATTTGAATTAATAAATATATGAATAATTCAAAAAACTCAGCAGATAATGAATAATTCAAAAAACTCCTCCTACCTTAACGAAACACTCTTTTCGATTAATTGTTTAAAATTACCAATACTTAATTCTTTGCTTTATATTATTGCTGCATTATTTTATAAGCAAATATTTTGCTTTATGCATTTTATTGGACTCATACTTCGCCTTTTGGAATTGGGCTAATCATCGCTGGCTTGGCCAGTGGAATAAAGATCTTTTGCCAGAGAGCCATCTGATTCCGGCTATTCACTAATTGACCTCCTTTTTGTTTCATTTCTCATTTTATTATTTTCATTTAATGATTTTCTCTCAATTTTCTCATTTTTAATTAATAGTTTTAAAATTTGCTTGAATTATTTTCTTCTGGATATTTTTTTTGAAGATTATCATTTTTTTTTGAAGATTATCATTTCTGGTTAAGCTAGCTGCTCTGATTGTTAGTACAATTATTTCAACCACTTGCTAGAAAATACAAATGAGTCGCCAGCAGCATTCAGAAATGATTTATATCTGCAAGAAATAGGTGTACCACTGACTTTCAGCAAAATAATCTCTTATTTGGTTATCTTATCTCCTAAAATAATCAGTAAATATTTGGAAAATAAATTGGAAAATGAATTTGGAAAGAATCGAAAAATTTCAAAGAAAAATATTTCATATGCGATGCATGCTTGCTTCAAAACAAAAAAATTACTATAAAGTGCCATAAAATAAAAATATTTGTTCTCTGGTTTCATTTGGCAACTAGATTCTTTGCTTAGATTATTTATTTCGGAATATTTTTGATGCATTTGTGCATAAATGGCAGTTATTTTGTAAAGCAATCCTCTAATTCTTGTGCACCACTGTATTTCGTAAAAATGTATTTTCTGGCTTTTTGAAGTTTAAAAAAAATTTGAATATCTACTTAATTCTGCTGAACTTGAAATTGAAATGCGCGTTGAAGTGCTCGTTGAAGAAATTCTTCTTAAGCTTTGTACAAATTTTTCAAACTTAACTGAAAACTTTGATAAAATGAACATTTTATATTCATTAGATAACATTTTATTGCAATCATTCATTTATTTATGTTTCATTTCAGATTATCGATGATAAAGGTGACGTAATCTAAAAATAAAACAAAATGGCTGATATTTTTTTAATCATATTATTTTCTTTGATTATAATAATCGCCTTAAGCGGTAATTTACTGCTATGTGTGGCTGTTTATTGGGATAAAAAACTGAGGAGAAATGAAGAAAACATTTTTTACGTTTCATTAGCAATATCTGACCTCCTCATGTCCGTACTGGTAGGTTTACTCTTAAATTACTCTTCGCATAATTTGGCCAATTTGTCAAATATACTTTATTTAAATATAATTTTTTTCTTGATTATTCTCAGCAACTTGTGCATGTAGTGTACCTACATTTTTTTATCAAAAATTAATTATCCTAACAGATTATGAACATTTTTGATCAAAAACTGCAAATTCAGAAAAAAATGCAGCAGCAAATTTATAGGTGATGAGCCTCGCTATGGCGAATGATATTCTCGGATATTGGCCACTTGGGCCAATTTATTGCCAACTATGGATATGTTGTGATATAGCTTGCTCAACTGCATCAATCTTAAATTTATGTGCGATAGCACTCTTTAGGTACTGGAATATCAGTCACCCGTTGACTTGTATTAAGTATGTTTATTTATGTGTTAAAAACATGTCAAATCAAGCTTCATCTTGAGATTCTATTGGAATCAAACTACTCTGAAAATAGAATCAATTTTAGTACATTTGTAACTTTTAGGTTTATTATATTAAAATGTTGTCGAAACTTATTTTTTTGATTGAATTAATCTTATTCGATATATAATTGTTTAGCTGAATATCTTTTATTACACTAAGCTTTTAGTAAACAACAAATGAAAAAAAAAGGCAAAAAAGGCAAGGGAAGCTATGGAAATTTAAAAAATTATATAAAATAATTTTTTTTCATATTCGATTTTGAAGAAAAATAACAAGAAATGTAACTTACAGCTCTTTAGATTAAAATTATTTTATAAAATTAAAATTATTAACGTGGGCCGAAAAAATATAAATGGAAAATAAAATAAATATAATTCTAAATATAATTCTCACTTTGTTTCATCATTTCCTTAGTTTTTTTTAACTAAAAACGTAGATATTTATAAAAAATATTCTAGCCGACGAAAGAAAGCATATTCAGTAGCGATAATATGGATATTATCTGTGTTAATTGGGTCAATCCAGTTAATTTTTGATTTCGCACAAAATTATCAGCTCGCTTATACTGATTTTCAAAATTTAACGATTAGAAGCGAGTAAGTCTCATTGAAAGATTAAAAAACTATGTTCATTATTTTTTCATCATTTTGAATACTTACCAAAATAGTTAATAAAACGTGTGAAAAATGTGTTAACTATGATTATTTCCCATTTCTTAGTCAATTGCTTGTAAATGCGGTTAGAAATTTTTGCCAATGAGTTAAAGGCCTATTTATAGGGGATGGATTTCCAGTATTGACAGCTTTGGAAAACCGAAGCACTTGCTTTTTAATACGATCTGGTTTGCTGCAAAATCTTCCTTTCTTGATTGTTTATTTAGAACAGATATATAATCCACTGTTTTCCTGTTTTTTATCAAGAAAAAATCTGAGGAAATTAATGAATTTAAATTTAAAAATTGCACGATTCGATGGCGGTTCTGTTCAGTTGTGGGGCAATTTTTGTGAATTATTGCTCATTCTCTTCAATGTCTGATCAAATCCTGATTTCTTTTATTCATGGTTAACATATCTTTGAAATATGAAATGGCCCTAATTTTAAGATCGTCCAATTCATCTACAATGAGTAGAGTATTAAAATTATAAATCATCATTTTTAAATAAAAATATATATAATAAAAAATATGAGATCAAAACTCACTTGTAGTGCTGAAAATATATAATATTATATTGGTTATTAGCATTTCGTTAAATCTTGATTTGTTTTAGGGTTTTTGATTTTTTATCCTTTGGAATGGATTTATAATGTTTTTTTTGATATGGATAACATCGTCCGAATGGCGCGAATGAAGGGACTGAGAGGAAAATGTAATGCAAAAATTATTAGGGAGATCAATTTAGAAGAGATTAAAACACGATTTCCTATGGTAACGATACTAGTTCTCAGTTGACTCAATCCTATAATATATAACAGACCTCGTTTACGAATTTCCAGATTATAAAAAAATACGAGTAAAATGAAAGTTGAAGCGAACTACTGACTTCAAGATATTAATTATACACAAGCATTAAAAGAGTTTGAATTGAATGAAATTACAGGCAAACATTATAGAATCGCACTAAATTAAAGAATCGAAGTTTTTTTAAAAAAGCCTAAAAATCTTAAAAATCTTATTTTAGAAGGAACCGATCATGCCAGTTACTTTTGAAGCCATTTTACGCTCTCGGAAGTTCTCTGTGCAGTTTCTTCGCACCTGCAACTATAATGGTTTTATTATATACGCGACTATATTTATATGCTCGCAGGCATAGTAGGAATATGCGAAGACAACTGAAGGAAGCAACGACTTTATTATTTTTACATTTAGTTAGCATGAAACCGAAAGAAATAGAACCTGATGTGAGTCTTATTTCTTTTCCTTCTTATTCCAATCGTTTCTGGTATAGTTGAATCCAGTAATTGTTCACATGGGAAGAGGATATATACGCACAACCCGGATTTCATTTACTATGGCAGATTTACTTCTGCTAAACGGCAGATGTGGTAGGGTTTGTGCTTGAAGAACATTTAGTCGTCGTGTACCAAGACTATCAACGGGTATGAAATAAATTGAATTAATTGAATTAATAAAAAAGGCATGAAAGGACTTGATTATAACCTTCAAAAACTATTCTGCAGTTCTTCAAAACCAAGTTTAACTGGAAATTTCTCTCGTAAAATCTTGGATTTTCTAACATATTTGCCTTTTTTTTGGCTATTAATTTCTAAGGCATAAGATTTATTTAAATTAATTATTCACTTAAGCTTGTGTTCAATTTCAGGCAATTTGAATTAGATTTTATAAATAATAAATCAGATTGCACTTTCCCTATTTTAAAATAGCAATCCCTATTTTAAAATTTTTCGCTTTATTCGGTTTTACTAGGAGAATATATTATAACTTTATACACTGTAAATATAGGTCATTAAATTTGGAGTCCGTAAAATTTGAATTAAGATAAGTGGTAATCAGTATATCTTCGTTGACCATTCCATCGGATCAATTGAGCATTCGCAAATGGTTTTAAGATTCCTCGATCCAGAAAAGGATCGAACCTTGCATGAGCTTAAACTGATCTTATAATGAATTGAAGACTAACACTACTGAATAATTCAACCGCTTTTAATTTTTTCGTTTAGTTTTAGAAAAAAATATTTCCATAGCTTAATGCTTCAAGAGGAATAAGTAGCAAGCTTTGTAGCTTGAAAGCAATTAAATATCTGATGCGTTTCAGCCATATTTATTGCAGACCTCATAATGAACACCTTAGACAAATTTTAATCCTTTGAAAGTGAACTAGCTTCTTATTCATTTTTTTAATTCATCTCACTTTTTTATCTAAAAATTCTCATTTTTCTAAAGGATTTATCAACGTCGCACGGAACAAGTCAACATAGCAATACGAGCAAGCACCATAAAATTTCTTTGGTTACAAGTTTCGATGCGTTCAGTGGCCATAAATTATTTTTTAACCATGTTTGTCAATTTCATTCAGTTTTTCCATTAAAAATGAAATTTGTTGCATAAAAACGATATGTTATAATAGATTTTGTAAATTTTCGAAATAATATTTTATCAGCGACAGCAAAAAAATGAATTACTTTGGCTAAATATGAATATCTCAGTCGCTTCATACCATACTTCGACCTTTCCATCATTGGTCATTGGAGAGAAAAAGAAATTCTTCAAAGCAAAAAAATCCGAACAACGCGCATATAATTAAGGATCAAAAAGCAAGGTGTGAACGTATTGTTTATAATATATTTTAAATGCATTTGAACATATTCGTTTTGATTGTTATAAGAGCAAAAAAATCAAATAGTATAAATCTTTTAACTTAAAGACAAAAGAATGTAGAAAATTAGATCCTTTGGATTTGAATTCTAAAAAACTGCTCATTTCTTAATTTTTGATACTGAAACAAAGATTAGCTGAAAATTTTCTTCGCAAAAATAATAATAATTTATTTGGTTTCATTCATTTATCTATTTTTCGTATGATACCTTACTAATCTTGGATCACCCGAATAGAATGGCTCAGTGGGTTGTTGCTCGATTGGGCGATGATTGAGCGCTGATGCTGAGGTTCGAGTCCCGGCAGGAATAAACCCGTACCGGGAGGTGCTGGCGACTCACCTGTATCTCCAAGAAACTCCATGGCATATTACTCAATTTGACTAGCCAGTGGAGTGAGTTTTGCCAGTAATGGTGAGGAGTCTTAAAAAAAATTTTTTTAAACTATAGCTGTATTTCTATGTAGCTAATTATATAGTTAATTTTCCTTGAAGAATTCATAAAATTCAAATTCATTATTTTGATGTATTAATAGTTGGACTCACCAAAATTTTTGGATTCATATCTTTGTTCCATGAGATTTTTGTTGATCTTTATTGGCAATGAAAAATCAAATACAAAAAATTGAAAAATCCATAAATAATTGAATATTTATTAAAAGAAAAAGCTAAATGATGTCAGTTTGGCAGAATAATAAATGTAATTCAAAGTACGACTCTAATTTGTACGTACATATGTGGCCAGTAAACTAAATCTACTGAACTTTTTAATAGAAGTGGAAAATCGTAACTAATAACAACAAAATCTGAGGTCAGTAGTCTGACCGGATTGGTTCATAACATAGGTCTAAAAATATTCTAAATATTAGCAAAATATTCTAAAAAGTGCCTATGAAAAACATTCAATCTAATATGTGGTTTTTAATTATTTACGTCGAATAAAATTGCAGAATAGCCATCAAATTCTGTACCTTTTTTAAAAAATTAATGAAAATACTATTATGCGAAAATTTATTCAGGATAACATTGGGTGTAATCATGGGAACGTTTTTAATATGTTGGCTTCCATTTTTCATTGTCAATGTTCTTCGCTCTTTCATTCCAGATTCGATTTCACGTTTGCAATTTCAAGTAATTTTATGGATTAACATCGATAGATTTTGAGACAACTTTTATTTATTTATCGCTTTTTGTAAATCCATTTTAAAATAATAAGCATTTTTCTCATTAAAAAAAGGTTGCTGAATCAAATACGCCACATGTTTGAAATTTTCGCAATTATGTTTAGAGAATTTGTAGATTTAAGAGATCATTTGCTTATTGCGAAGATGCTTTTTTTTTCCATTTTTATACAAAAATTTAATGATTTTATTTATTTCTAATATTGCTCATCGATTAATCTAGAGAAATGACATAAACTATAAGGCAAATTGAAAATTCTGAGAAACGATAAGCTAAGCTATATTTAATCCGATGATATTAAAAATCTTAGCGCTAAAAACAATTTAAGCGAAAAATCTAATTAATTATTTCTCTAAGGGATTTTGATTTTTTTTTTCTTCTTATTTCGCGATAATAACAAATAAATTCCATAGGCTGTGACATGGCTTGGTTACGCTAATTCAACTGCAAATCCTTTTATTTATTCTATTTTGAATCGAGATTTTCGAAATGCATTTAAACGCATCCTATCGCATTTATTTTTTTGTTCAAAAAATTCAAGAATTAAGCGACCGAGGAATATTCGATGAGGAAACAAAGTAAATTTTCCAATGCTTTCTAATCAACTAGTAGATAGATAGTTAACATTGAATTAGATGAGATTTTCAGTAGAGAATGGCTTGAGGACAAAAGTACAAGAGCCCACAATATCATCTCGATTTTTAATGACAAGCGTACTTCTCCATGTGGCAAATGCTGTACAGTGACACTTGAAATGTATGACAGTGGTCCTCATTGGGGCCTGTGGAATATGTGTCGTGGATTTTGCCAAGATAATTTTTGATTAAGTGCAAAATAGATTATTAAGCTTATAACCATTATATCGAATACGCTATATCCATTTCTCCTAAAACAAACTTGTATGTGTTTAAATGTCCTAAAAGTGAGAAAGTACCAAGAGCCTATTGCAAGTGCACATATGGTTGTCGCAATTAATATCTTTTTTCTCGTTAAATTCAATTTCGAATTCCTTGTTTCATTCTTTTTAACATTTTAATGTTTTATTGTCCTTTGCATATCGAAAAATTTATATACTGCTGCTAAAATACGAAAATCCAAGTTCTTGTTCACCACCAGAAGGGGAACATAACTGAGGAAAAAATGCGTCTCTGCGCATTGATGAAATAACTCTTGATGTGAACGACTAACTATTAAATAGCTATAAGTTAAATGATTTTTCATTCAAATTGAGTCAACTTTAATGGACAGTTGAGCTGAAAATATATGAGAATTTCAAATGGTGAATAATTTATGAAAGAAAACTTTGCAACGAACTAAGAATAAAGCGCAAAATGCAGAAGATGAATCAATTTTTGAGGATCTTAAAATATTGTATAAATATATATATTTTATATATCGTATGGAAAAAATTATCGCGCTAAAAGGCATTACATCTTAAGATGGAACTCCAACGATGACATAGAGATATAAGAAGTTATTTCAAAAAATATTTACCAGCCCACCAGCCTAATTTACTACACATTATATATGTACATATATATACATTGATAACACTGGGTCGCATGACCCACTTTTGCTATCATATGAACCGTTAATTATATTTCGAATGCCTTCTGAAATCGTCTCTTTCATCAACTTTATGAAGAAAATAGCAAAGAATTTGAACGCATACTATTGCACATAAAGATTCGCTGGTGTTGTAGATTTGTACTTTGGAAGAGAATTCTAGAAAATTATATTATACTATAGAATTATTATAAAATTATATAATACTATAGAAAATTCCTTCAATAAAAATTTGATTTCGAAAATTTCATGGAAAATTGTTGCAAAATACATTTTATTTAATTAAATTTATCAATCAAACTTGTTGAAAGTTAAAATATCTATTAATGAAAGTCGTACAGTGGCTGATAGATCCATAAAAGTTAAATATGGCCAATAGATCTGGTATGTATCCTGTGAATCTGTAGAGCACTCAACACTTGAAGCGAGATCCACGAACACCCAAGGAAATTTCAGCGCGGAAATTGAAAATAAATTTGAGATAATGCAAAGAATTTTCTTGCAAATTTTCTAAGTTCTTATACGAATAAGTCTGTTTTCAAAAGCCTGCGTATTAACAGAAGCGCTTCGATTATATTTGACGAAATTACAGCTTAATGTGAAAATCCTACTTACTCTTATCAGCCACAAGGATCAGATTAAAAATTATTTTGCTTCAAAACAATATATTTTATAAATATTTATATTTAGAATAAATTTATTTTATGAATATTTAATATTTTTTCATTTGTAATAACTTCTTACGTATAGCTTTTCCTTATTTTATGTAATTTTTTGAAAAAAAAAAGTACTATACTTATTTGAACGAAAACAAATATTTCCGAACCCATAATCTTGTAGTTTTTTTCGTTTCCGGATGTGAATCAGTTCACAGTTACCAAAAAAATTACTAAAAACCCTTCTGAATGAGGTGCAGCACGAATCACCGATTTAGTCAATAAACATTCGACCATATTGCCATATTTAAATAAGTCCAAATAAAAAATCTTGACTTTAAATACAATAACGTGATAATTTCTTCTAACAGCTCTCACAATTAATCTCCAAGCTATTCGGTCTGACACTATCGTTGACAGTAATGGAAGCCATTGCTTTTTCCATCATCTATCGCTTGTCCGCCTATATGCTCAAAATCTTTCCTGACTATATCTTGATTGGACCATCTCGCTTTTGACGTCATCCATCACAAAGTTTAGCAAGAGAATACTTATCAATTCATGTGGTAGGCGACGAAGAATGTGTTCTAACCAGCGAAGGACAGCATTCTGTTAATGCAAGTGGTATTTGAGCGAGAATGGATACAATGTGCGATTTTATCCGCCAAGCGGACTGGTAAGAAATGCATTGTTAGAGGCATATGGCTTCTTAATATCCTCCTTCACTCTCAATGACCAAGCGAATTAAACGTGAGCTTTCGTTTTTACAGTGATTTCGTGACGAATCCATAAAGGTTTCATCAACCGGAAGAAAGCATTTATAGCTGCCATTATGCGAGTATAATATCGTCTTTCGCTTGGCCATTTGGGATTAGAGTGGGTCCGAGATATTTAAAGTCTGGTACTTCCTCAACTGATAATGAATTGATAAAAATATGTATTTTATCGTCTTGTAAATAAGACGAAACGACTTTTCTTTTATTTACTTTGATCCTGAATCCGATTCTCGCTGCCGTTGTCGACATATTATTTACCATTATTTGCATGTCGCCATAACTGTCTCTGTTAAGAGATATAGTCGTCCATTTCACTCAAGATCTCACTATATTGTAAATATATATTTATACAACTTATTAAAAGCTATTAGGTATGCATTAACTTTGCATCCAGCAAAAGTTTAAGTAACAATGAAATGAAATGCTTCTATTGCTAAATTTCTAATATGTCGATGTTTATGGAATCCAGAAAAAAATATTTTGAGAACATGGATTCGAATAATAACGACGATTTTGTAATAAAACACCTTATTCAGTATTGAATCCAGATACGGCCGAGGAATATCGATTAGTTGCAAAAGCTCTGTACCATTTTTATAATTCTAATTTAATATTGCAATTTCGATCCATCTATATGTAGAATTTACATTACCTAAAATGACGCTGAAATAAATTTTCTAATTTTTTATCATTGGCATTAATAATAAAACCAAATTTTATGACAAAAAACAAAAAACTGCTGTTTAAATTTTCTCCAATTTCTTTCTGTTTTATAGTAAAATCTGAAATTGATGAAAAATTTTGATATTTGAAAGTGGAAAAGTATGATTCATTTTGAATACATATATTTTTTCTTGTTTCCATATTACATTGTGCTACGAATAGTGAGGGTAAGGTAGTTCTTAAAATTTTGTAAAAAACTTGGACTCAATGAAGACACAATGAGAATAATCATCCATTTCAAAAAAGTTGTAAAAACCAGAAAATGTTTATTTTTACCGTAACAGGAAAGAATTACATTTCTCTGAGGCACTTTATTTTTTAGTAGCCATTTAAATGTTTGAATGGCAAATTATGCGTACGATTCATTAAAATAACAAAAATCATCATTTCATGCATTTTAACGCGAAAGCAATCGCGAAATTCTTTCATAACTCGTTCGATTGCATATCCAAGAATATGGGATAAATTTATCATAATAAGTGGAAGTGAATCCTCATCTTCCGATATGAATTGGTCTATCTTCAATTTCAAATTCAGCAGTTGCTGCCCGAGATCCTTTCTGTTTATGTGAGCTCACAGCAAAAGCTATGGCTGCAAAAATATATATGAAAACACATGCATAAGCCATATATGATGGATAACCAGTTGTTTGTCCAACTGAGTAGTCCCAGTCGCGATCCTGAAATCGAATCGCTTAAAATATTTGCATTAAATACTTACTTTTCATGCATTCAGTTTTTAAAACTTTAATTTTTTCACTATATAATCGTTATTATTTATAGATTACATTTATTTTAAATGTTGTTTTTTTAACCTTAAATCTCAAATAAAATTGAAAAATCTTTGGCAGCTGAAATCGTTTTTATTACTTCGGAAAAAAATCGAAAAGATTGATGAACAGAAGATATGGATCAAAGACCACCCTAATTCTACATTCTTAATTGCAGTCTGAAGTTATTTGCAGTTATGATATGGTAGTAATTACAAATTTAAAAATAACTTAATAGATGATTAATATAAAATTTTTCATGCGAAAAAACTGATAAATCGTAAATTTGCTATAGCTACCAGCATAACCAGAAGCGTTATTTGCTTAAAATCAAAGGTTCAGGAAGAAGTTAAGGAAATTAAGAAAAAATCCTGTAGCTTAAATGATTTTTTAACCAATTTTTTTCCTTCATTAAATGTTAAAGATACGTTTAAAACTACATTATTTAAGCATTGTCGACTGCATTTAATTTATTTAATGCGTAGATAAATCGCTATAATACTTGAATAAATCCATGAGAAAAAATTAAAAATATGTTTACCACTGATTGTTGCGCCACCGACAAATTCCACTCGTTAATGCTTTTAGAAAGCACCTCGATAACAATTACAATACACATTGCTAAAAAAATTCATTAAGCATTTTTTTAAATTCGTTCTTTATTTTTTCATTAAGTCGATTCACTTATTCCTTCAAAGATAGATTATTTCGAAGATGGAAGAGAAAATATTTCGGACAAAGAAAATATTTTTCCAAAATTAATAAAAGGTATATCGTTACAAGTCATACTTTGATTTTTCTACGACAGGTTCATTATTTTTTTAAGATCTAAATCTCTTTTCATTTTCAATTTGAAAATTTATAAAATTTTTAAACTAATTTTTAAGCCTTATTATAGTAAATTTTTTTTCTTGTTTTTTTTACATTATTATTTTAGTCTTTAAAACTGATATAAATATGAATGGCTTTCAAATTTTTATATTCCTTTCTTTTTTCGTTCATTTGTTTCAGTGCGCCAAAAATCTTGTATTATAAACAGTAAATGCGAAACAGCTGACAGAATAACAAAATGTTCTAATGTTCATTAAAAAAATTGATTATTAAAAAATTATTCTCATTTTTTGGCCAATTGAAAGTTAAAAGCAGCTGCTTTGCTAAGTTTCCTATGTTATTCTTACAAATGCAATAATTGAGCAAAAAGATCGTAGAGAAACGACTCCAGAGTGATGAAAAATTGATAATTTAAGATTTATCTTATTACCCAAGGTTTACCAATAACGATATGAAGGCAAGCTGTAAGTCGTTTATACATATATCTATGGTGATAAAATGAATAAATTGCTAAACAGTTGTTAGCAACCATCAACACCAGCGCAATAATACCAATTACCATCTGTGAGCGATAATAATCTGCAACAAATTAAATTATTGACTCCAATGTAAATCATTTATAATATCATAAGAGAAAAACTTATTTGACTGAATAAATAAGATATTAATCACCGAAATAGAAAACAAATAATTACAAAAAATTCGACGCATTTCTTGTTTCTGATTCTTATAACGAAATCTGTTCGAAAAATTAAATATGAATATTAGGAAAGAATCGATCCAAATTTTTTGGCGGAATTTCTTTGATCATTTATCTCATTTTATAAAAAAGGAAAGGAAATCGATTGGATTCAGAACTGATTTCTCTATATATTTGTCAGCGGATTATGGTGAATTATGTGCGAAAGTTATTATATCAATTTCGTACTTCATAATACTGCATTCTTATAAAATATATACATATATATATATATATATATATACATGTGTTTTAATCTTTTTGTGAAAAAGGCCTAAAAGTGTGCTAAAAGAAATGATACATTTTCAGGCTTCAATTATAATATAGATAACATAATATAGATAGATAGAATATTAGTGTATCAGTTTAAAATCCGCGCTGAAATTATAAGGCAATCAGTGAATATTACGTTTTAAATCCGCATCGGCTAACCGAAGTACAGTCTCAGATGGATTAGGAAAATGCGGAATCCATTCAGCTGAAAACGATATTTGAATGAGAGAAACAAGTTATAACATAGAATTGAATTTCTTTTAAATGAATTTCTTGTAAATGAAATTTATGCTAATTAAAGAAGAAGAAATCTTCTCAATGAGTATAGTTTAATGAATTTCGTTTAATGAATTTTCTAATCTGTATTATCTGATTAATTATTTTTTAGGCATTAAATAAAAATTTATCCACCTCTCCTCATTGTTCCATTCATAACAGTTCGCCATTCTCCCCAAACTCCAAGTGCAACGTGAACATTTTCTTGTTCAACGTTAATAAAATCAATATTAGTCCACCCTGGCAATAGCAATGCAATAAAAAAAAGAATTATCCCCAGCTGAAAAAAAAAATGTCATTTTCATTTTTTCTTTATAAAATATAGTAATTTTTAATAATTCCTGTGCAGAATTTATGCAGAAGTTGACTGATAATTATGCTTACTTTTTAAATAAATCACAATTAGTGTTCAAAATATTTTTGAGGTTTTGCAATTCCTTGCAATATTTCTTCTAAATTTTCTCGTTCTCTTTAAACTTAAAACTGATGGAATGTATTAATCGCTCCATGAATGTTTCCTGAATACAGAATTTCCGAAGCCATCGATGACCTCTGAGGTTTTCTTGGGATGTTTTTTTGTTGAAAATCGCATTCTTCTGTATTCCTTTATACTGTTAAAATTTTTCCTACTATGGATTGAAATCCCGCAAAATTTAGTGCACAGATTTTTTTGTATTGATAGATTTCTTGGTGAAACTATTACCTATTATCGCTTTTCTTTGCTTATAACAGTCGGCATTATGGAATTCTAAGTTTATTTTTTCAGACTTTAAGGCAGGCTGCAATGATTTCAAAATATCATATGTTGACTATCCTCGATCGGAGTTAAAACAACCGGCGTGGTGTATCAAAACAGATACAAAAAATCATTTTTAGTCCTAATTTATCGAAAATGCGTTGTTATGAGCAATTTTTTATTTTATTTATGAATAATTTTTTCGCTTAAAATTGTCGGAAACTGTCAGTTTTTTCCCACAGTCATCCCTACCAACTAGCAATTTTATCGTATCTGTGAACTCAAAATGCAAATTTATAGACTAGTTTCCTACAAATTTTACCGATCAGTGATTAGTGATGCATTGGCTACACCATGAGCATTCAAACAAATAAGAGATAAAATTATGAATAATGGAATAAAAAATGGAAAATATAAAGAATGGAAAATGGAAAATAAAATATTGAAAAAAAGTGAAAGTATTTTTTCAGTATCGAACTGTCTTTACGTAAGCTTTCTAAAATGGTACTAGGGATTTTCTAAATTTTTGACTAAAAATAAATTTAATTAATTTCTTTCTAATGCTTGCAACTAGAAAAAAATCACAATTTTAGATTTGAAATACAAGCAGTATAATGGTATTGGAAAATATAAAAATTCTATTAGGAAAATAGATGAGAGATTTGATATTTTGGGATTTAACTTCGTTTTTGAGAAATAAAGTATTTATTTATTATTCATTCTCTAACGATTAATTATTTTCATTAAAATGACAAAATCTGGAAATGAAAAAATTATCCATAGTATACTCATTCTCATTTTCAATTTTCGCATTCATAGCTTTTTCATCAATAAATAATAAATAATAGTAGGCAAAATAAATAATTGAAAGTTTTCTTCATTATATGCTTTCCTTTCTGTTGCCTCCTATCGCTATAACAACGCTATAACAACGTACAAAGAAAGCGATATTTTGATAGAAAATAAACTTAATCGTTTTCATGCTTTTTTCTTTTCTACCTTAATACTTACTTACTTAATATTTATTACCATCCTTCTTTCCATTAATGTTTGCTTTTTTGCTTGATAAACGAATCACATTGCGTTACACTATTGTTGATCAAATAGAAAGTTTTAAAAACTTTGTAATAAAAATCGATGAATCGAGATGAAATTTCAACGCACTTTATTTACATTATAAAACAAAGCTTAAGACTAGAAAACCCCAAAAAAATTACTATGCTAAGATGTCTAAGATAATTTTTTTCTGCAATCCTTAAAGGCTCTCTCTATAACAAATGCAAGAATCTTTGACTAACGCTTATGAATTATAAACTAAATATCTAAATATCTATCTATATCTAAAGAAAATGTGACTTACCATCGCAAGTAATGTGGCTATTGCCATCAGTCGCCTTTGCCATATTATTTGCCGATACCTTAAAAATAATTCGTTTGCGATGTTCATATTAATTATATCTTATAAAATCTATTCGTCTTATGCTTCATATGTAATTCTCGAATTTCATAAAAAAAATCCAAAAAAATTATTATTGGATAGTTTTTAATATTTTTTGATATTTTTGTTATTATTTATTTATTATTATTATATTTATTTATTTACCAGTCGTCATCCATTTGGTTTCAAAAATCTGAATATAGCAGTATAATAAAATAAAAAATCTGAATATAGAAAATTTCTATTAATAAGTTCAAAATAAAAATAAAACTTCAAGTTTGCAGAAAATATTTAGTACAGAACATTGAAAAGAATGAAATAGTCCGAAGCAAATGAGATGAGATATAAAATAATTTTTTAATTATGGAGGACAATCTGCGGCTTTCACGCACATTAACAATAATATTTTACGTATCGTCGAAAAATTTCAGTACATATATATATATATATACAAATAAGTTTATTTAAATATATTTTAAGGAAACTAAAAATGATTGAAGGGGCCACGAAATTCTGAATCTATAAAAAATCATCATTATTTATTGCGAGCATAGCTAAGATCCTGGTTGCTTGGTTTATTTAAATAAAAAATAAGTGAATATAGGTAGCATGTAAAATATATCATTTCTTGTCCAACGAGTCGTTTTCATTTTTTCTACTTTGGTTGGCTCGATGATTAAAAACTCGCTTCGATAAAAAGCTAGTTTGAGTAGTGAGTAGTATCACTCAAATTTTGCTTTTAATAAGACTCATCTTATCGAATAGTGTGTGATCACTAAGCACTTTTTTGTTCATCGCTGTATCGTTTGATTGCTTAATAAGTTTTAGGAGAGCTTTTTTTACTAATATGCAATTATATAAATAAATAACTGTGTAAACTCTATAATTATTCTTGTTTCTTCCCTTTTTTTCTTGATCTATTTTCATTAAAATTCATTTCATTTATTTCATTATTTATTCCGTTTTTTGATATTTGGTTGATAATTTAATAAATGCTATAATGTGCTAAAATTAAGATTAAATTTTAAATAGATTGAATAAATTAATTCTTAAATCTTAGAAAAATGGAATGGTATGCAAAAACCTTAAAATGCGAAATGCGAAGATCCTTTTCAGTGAAATCCAAAAATTAAAGGATATTAATTCAAATCCTTAAAATCAAACAAATCTAATAAAGGGAAAAAGAAAATCATAAACTTCAGTGAAATGAAAATTTTTGTTGGTTCTTTTCGTTGAAAATTATTTTAAGAGATTAAAAAAATTGGACGACTCATTAAAATAGCTAGCAAAATTCATTCAAAAAGCACAAAAAATTTTTTAAAATCAGTTTTATTAAAATTTTCATTTAGACATATTTTAGACTAACTATATATGCTATAATAAGCAGATAAAAAAAAAATAAAAGAGTTCTAGACAGATGATGAAAAAGCGACTACAGCTGCAATAACTGCAGTCCGAATGTTAGAATTAGTAAAATATTATAAGATCATATCATCAGTTTCTGCTGGAAAAAGACGATTATAAATATAAATATAATGGTGCAAAGGCGAAAAAAATTGAAAATATAGCTTCTTAAAGAAAACAATTTCTACATGGCAGTGTAAAATCTGACAAAATTTGATATCGAAAAATGGTTAATTATTTAATAAATCTTTATTTATAATTATAATTGAAAGATCTACGAAATCTATAAATTCAGCAATTGGTAAATTATTTATTTATAAGAGCTACAATGTTATAAATGGATTTGTCTGGAAGCAGTAAGGAAAGAGCAATAATAATAATAACCTTTCAACATTAAGCACTTGTGATCCATGCAGTTCAATACCAGCATCGATTAGTTGTATCATTTCAAATGAACAACAAGAAATTTTTTTTTCACTTGCCAGTGATAATTGGCTGATGTTTGTGATGATCGCTCCTTTGAGAAAAAACGTTAAGCACTTATTAATCAGTTATTGTCTTCAATAATAACTGACCTTTGCAATAATAACTGAAATGAACATTTTTCATTTTAATGAATAAATTAATGAAAATTCAGATGAATGAATAAATGAATAAAGAGTTCTGGAAGAGTGGCGGAATTTAGGTATTGATGTCGACATATACTGATACTGAATTTCATTCAGTTGATAACCAGAAATGATTAAGTAATAATAAAGGGAATACCGCAGAAAAGCGAAAAATTATCTGACTAAGGTAGAAGCAAAATTAAATTCGGATGAGCCTTTCAACTTAAAATTGGCATTCTTAATTAAATCTTTTTTCTCTTAAAAATTTCATTCAACATGAGAAACTAGTGTAATTAATGAAATAATTTGTATAAATCTTAATAAATATAAGCAACTTTTTTTTCTAAGATCATTTATTGTTTTGGTCTGACACGTTAGTATAAATTTTACGAGATAATCACTTGAAGACAGAGAAAAATAGAACCACCTTAGGTTACCAGTACATCCGAGTTTTTAAAAGGAAAGTTTGGTTCTGCCGAGAATAGAGCTTTTGGCGTCCGGTGCTCCATACTGAGAGCACCAACCTGTGCTCTTATCGCCTTAAATCTTATCGCCCTTAAATGCTTACTTCTTCTTCTAACAGCTTTAACCATTACTGGTTAGGTTGACCCCGCTAGCTACAAGGTCAAGATGTTTCCGAGCTGCTCGGTCTTACATCATTGCAAGTAGAAGCCATTCCTTTTCCATCTTCTAAGTTCATACATCGCTGGACTTCCTGACTCTCTATCTCTGACTATCTTTTCAAAATCTTTCCTGACTGTATTAGACCAGGTCTCGATTGGTCTACTTTTTGATGCCACAAGATTCGGGAAGTAGCGAAACATGCTCAAATCTTGTGGTGGGCGACGGCGAACGTGCTCTAACCAGCGAAGGCGATAACATTATTAATACTGGTGGTATTTGAGTGAAGATGGATATATGGATACTATCATATGCTCGACAGACCCGTAAAATATTTTAGATATGAGTTGTCAAAGGCTGATAGCTTCTTAATATCTTCCACTCTCATTGAGTTTCGTAGTCGTATAGCAAGGTCGAACGAATTGCAGTTATATGGATGCGAATTTTTTTTCTATTGTGGTTTCGCAACGGTT